TCATCGTTAACTCGGCAGGCACCATCGTTTGGTATTTTAGTTTGTATCCAACTTTTCTTCCTTTATGTGACGATTGATTATTCAACTTGCAAGGAACCAAATGATTGTAAAGCAATGGATACGGCAGCTCTGCTGACTTCTACAATTAATTCACTTGATATAACACTATTAACTGGAAAAAAAAAAATTTAATAGTTGTAAGGGTACTTTTTACATCTGAATAATCTTATGGGTTTTGTTCAAGGCTAATGTAATGTGGAAGTTTCTGAAAGGTTATGTATACCACGCTTTATTTGTATGATCTGTGAAACAAGATTGAAGTAAGAGACAACAGGGAGCTGTTATAGCAGGTGGTCAGGCAACTCATTTCCACAGCTGAATAGCCTGGTTAATTTGTTCCGCCTTAACACTAGTGTGTTAAATGAACACCAAACCACAGCTGGATACCTAAATCACTGCTTTTCCTTGGCATACAGCACAAATTGTGTAGCCAAGGCCTTCACAATATGGACAATTTGCTCCCTCCTCCAACCATTCTAAAAACTGCATCACAATGATCAGTCAAATAATCAATTTGGCAAAATACAATTACTAAACAGATCATATAAAGAACAAGAACAAGCAAACACTTTTACCTGTGGTTCTACGTTGGGTTCGCCTGTTCCATCACATTCTGCAGTAGAAACAATGTCAGTGAGACCATATAATATACAACTGATGAAAATTATGACATGCAACCAAGCACTTGAGAACTTTGAAGACTTTCACGTTTAAGCAATGCCACATTTTGCACTACATTCATAAAAAACACATAAGGAACGTTAAGAAACTAATTTGAAATAATAATTACCTGTGCACATTAAACGGCCCTCCCCACGACAAGCATGGCACCTTGTTGTGGTATCTCTTGTTTTTACTTTCCATAACTTTTTTATCCTTTCCAGCAAGTCTAGAGGGTTCTTCCCACCGATTTTCTCCAAGAAGAAAAACTCGATGTTGAGATACCTCAGCTTGTGTGAAACCTTCCTCTTTCACAGCTTTCTGTCGTATTTCTGAGATTTCTGTCAAAGAAGCAATTGCAGCTCCATTCGTTTGTTCCTATAATACAAGATTAGTCCCAAGGAACCAGACAGTTTATTGGGTAATATAACAATCCTGCTGCATCTTCATCATTTAAGTGTACTAGTATGCACGAGAAACTTTTCCTTCTGCGT